AATCTAATTGAAAGAATTCTGTGATTCTTTCTACAGCTAAATAAGCAAAGGGCAATCTTTTGCTTTTAATGGTATGTTTATTGTGGAGTTACTGCCAATTGCTGTGCACCTGTGTGCAAAGTGTCTGACATCTGTGTGCTCCACTAGCCATCAGACCTCCATGCAAAGCAGGACTATCCTTTTTCGCATCTCAGGAGTCGAATTTAATTCACCGATACGGCGCAGTAACTCCTTATATCCATTTTAATGGTCTGGTGAAATTCTGTTAGCAAAATACCTAATGAATGTTGCGATTCAATCAGGGAAATCTAGAGTGTAATGTGTGGAGCGGTGCCAGCGTTATATAAATCATTAAACATCCAAACGTAAAAAAAAAAAAAAAAAATCCCTAATCATCATCTAACTCCGAGAAGCTCCTGTAAATGGCAGGGGACGAGGCCAGGGGTGGGCAGCACGGGGGCCTGGCATGGGACAGGGATGGGGGTGAGCTGGGGGGGGGGTTTGACTCCCTGTGCTTCTCCAGGTGCTGTTTTTGGGTATAACATAGATGCTGTAGCACGGAGAGAGGGTTGTTTCTATGCTCCGGAGTCCCCCCAGGCCCTTGCAAGTCCTAGGAAGTGAACAGTTATTAATTAAAGGGGTGCTTTAAATAAAATGAAGGAGAATAGTCACTGCAGATAAGTTTTCTGTATGCAGTTTAGTTGTCTTCTCCATCTGCGCTGCGAACTGGGGACTGACTACACTTTTATTTCATCTGTTTTGGCCCCGGGAACTCTTGTAGCAAAAAAGGTGCAGTTGTGCTCTTGAAGCCAACATTTTATAAAGATAAACGGTCTAGAGGTTTGGGGGTTGTTTCTAGTTTTTAAACAAATCTCTTGAAAGACTTCCTAATGAGAGGCAAATCCAGCTAACAAAGACTTAGCATTTGCTTTTTGAAAAGATTGAATTGGAGGGAAATCTTTGGCATTGGCCATGGGTCTGCTCTGCTGGGAGAGGTTATCTGCAGAGAACAAAACCAAAAGTAATTGGTCCTGAAATACGGACATGTTTAAAATGCATGGTGGGCTCGCTGGGCAGTTGGAGTGAGATTTGGAAGACCAAGGCAGAATACAGAATTATAACATTCCTGGCTGTATATATAGATATACACACATATACATATATACACGCACATATATACATCTATGTACGTGTCTATATATATAGATGTATATGCGTAGATATATATAGGGATGACTACGTGAGATTTCAAGGTGGGGGTCTGATTTTGTTGCCGTTTGCTGTTTTAGAATCAGATTAGGTATTTTGATTTCACTCATAAGCTGAAGAGGGATAAGCAAACTGGATGCAGATGTCCCTGCCCTCACCTCTGCTGGCAAACGTGGTTTGCACTTAATAGTCACTGAAATAAGAACAAAGCCACAGAATTCTCCATCACGGAGAAGTACTTTTTATTAAATGGATGCTATCTTGGATGAATGGAAATCTTTGGGATGGCTCTGCAGGGCCCCTCTAAGGCTCCTGGGGAGCATCCCTGGAGCCCCACCAGCATGTGCCCATCTGCTGTGGACCACTGCATCCTGGACCACTGCGTTCCAGCCATCCCAGCCTGCAGCTTCACCAGTCCCTGGCATTGCTGCCCAGCAAACCCAGCGGGGGGATCTCAGCCGGAGGCTCCCAGCTTAAAAAAAAAAAAAAACCAAACCCAAAGCCTGGCAGCTGTGACTGGGCACAGCCGGGGCGAGAAGGGGGCAGCCAGCGATGCTCAGCCGGACGCTTCCTACGGCCGCTGCCCCTCCAGGGATACAGCCCCAGATCTGCTGCGGGATGGATGGACAGATGGCGGCCGGCGCTCAGCTGTGCCCGGTGCACGCCGGGAGCCCTACAGCCAGCCTGCTCCTAAAGGCAGCTCGTGAACAGACCCTTGAGAAGCAGATACCAGGCACGGCGAGGTGTGAAACGTGTGGTTTGCAGGGCACTGGCCGTGCACAACGTGTGCTGCAGATGCTGCAGGTTCCCTGGTCAAGAGGGTTTTTATTCTTCCATGTCTGTCCTGCAGACCATCACCTAACACCGACTTTATTTCTTTATTAATCCAGCATATTTTAAGCCTGAAGCAGTGCGTTATCTCTCAAGAAAAAGTAAGCTGAGTCTTCTTTTTCTTTTTTTTTTTAATATAGCTAGGAGTTTTTTGTCCTGCAGTGCTCAAGTCTGGGGATATTTTAAGAGCTCTGCTGTCTTGTGCTGGGAGGGAGTACAATAAATATGTAGATAGGGAGTGCTGCTGCTTTGAAAGGTAAGTAAAGGGTCTGCGCTGAACTGACACTAGCTGAAAAATTTGTTCAGCCTAATTAGCAGCAAATCACTTCTGTGTCCAAGCCTGCTTGTAGAAATGGGAGCCAATTCCTTCCCCCCGTGCTCCTTTATCCCTTGCTGCCCTTCGTGGCTTTTCAGTGCCTCCCTGGTGGAGCAGCTGAGGGTTTCTGTGAGGACAGCATCTCTGCATCCACATGTCCTTGCAGACCAGCGAGTGCACAATGGCATTACTGGAAATTCATGGGAAACTGCACACCCATCTTGGGCTTTGTATCGGACTGTTCAAGCTGTCACCGGAACCGGCCACGATCGATCAGCTTTTAAATTTCATGAAATTTTAATTAAAGAATGGAAAGCCTACGAAGACATCATAGGACAAGAGCACTGGAAACAAATACAATTTCACTTCCAACCATTAGCCAGAAAAGCAGCAAATGGTTGACTGCACATCACCATTGCAGTCTAATGAAAAGTACAGCTCTTGGCTTCGGCGGGCAGGTCATTAGTGACTGAATAATCAGTGACATTTCCCTTCTAAATCTGACACAAACGAAGTGCAGTGCTCTGGAAAAAGCCATTAAGTGCAAAGCCTTCCCTTTACTCTGCTCCAGGTATTGCAGAACAAGATCTAATGGCAGCCTTTAGCTGTGATTTGGCTTTGATAGCATCCATGGGATAGTAACCCCCTGGTATGCCGAGAGCCAAATGCTTCCAGCCTTGCACAAGCACAGTTCCTGCTATTGTGTCGTGCAAAAACAGAGAGACTTCTTCCTTGCTGGTGTTCATCGATGCAGCCAGTAAAAGCTACAAGTAGGGAAACCTATAATCTAGAGTGCTGGGAAGCTGAAAGGTATATCCTTATGTCTGAGAGGTAGCAGGAGGTAAAGGTCCAGCTCATCATGGAGTCAGTTTAAAGCCTGACATCCTCCTGTGAATTCCCGTGGCACCTCCCAGAGCTGGGTGTTAACCTGTTTTTCTGCAAATTTTTAAATGTTTTCTTGATGGGAGTGGAGAGCAAGCGGCACCGCACAGGAAAAAGGAAGGACTGGTCTTGTTTGTGTCTGTCCCTCGACATTCTCTGAATAACGTGTTGTCAGATGGATGGTGTAATCAAGTGGGTGTAACTTCCTCTGCTCCCTCCCCGTGTGCCACTGGCTTTGAAAATAATGCTGAAAGGTTAATAGGAGCCAGGCTGCCTTGTGGGGGGTCCCTTGTGTTGAAGCAGTGAGAATTTTAAGAAGTTTTTTTTCTGGGAGGAAAGAGACCCAATGGGGGGAACTTTTTCTAGGAAAAAGCATTACTGGGAGCTGGATTGGGAAGCACTGTTGTCTTGGAAACTCTGTGCTTTGGAGCTGGGTATGTCTGATCTTGAAAATTCCTTTTCTTTATGGATCCCAAAATAGAAGTTGTCGATGCAGTCAGTGTATCTTTTTTCAATGACTCTGATTTATATTTAGCCCTGTGTTGGGAAGTTCCAGTCCAGTATTTTTGGTCATTAGCTCTCCTGGTTGTGTTTGGGCTAGGGGTCAACTGTTTGGTGGATAAATCTGTTTAGGGTCTAGTCCTGTCAGTTACAACCTCACTGAAAACACATGAGTGACTACAGATAAAGGGGGTTATAAAATAATGGGGGGGGAAAACAGCCTGGGAAAGTTCATTAATGGCTAACTCCCAGCTACTGTATAGTTAGTTCTGGCTGAAGGCTCTCGATAGTTTTATTGCTTAAAAAGGGCATGGGGATAAGATGTTGTTTCAAAGTAAAAAGCTTTATTTCCCTATCAAAAGTTTCTTTAGTACATCCTTAAGGTCCATATCCAAACACTTGGATTTATATAAGCACCCAGGCAGCCATTGCCATATGATATTCTTCACCCTGCTGTGTTTCAGACAGGTTAGATTCCCAAAATCCATTTGAGTGTTAGAATTGGGACTCTTTTCCAAAGCTGTCGGTGCCTGCCCTTGTCTGAGAGCAGAGCAACATCCTCCTTGCCAGCATCTCAGTTTCCATCACCAGGGTCATCCAGGAGATGCCCTGTGCCGTTTGGAGAATGCCTTCGAGATGCTGTTCAGGTGTTCTCCCAAATTACCCACCTAAATGCCCTTTGATGCATGCTCTTAAAACTCTTTCCTCTGTATGCCATAAGGAAACCAAGGCAAGGAGCAAGCAATTGAAAATACTGATATTCCTTGGGTTTTTCATGGCTTTAACAGGCCATCACCACCAGTGCTTTCAGTTCTGTTTCACTTGGCTTCGGTTCCCCACTGCTCACGCCAGCAGTGGCCGTCTCACACACGCAAACTTCTGGATTTACAGGGAGATGCAGAATATTGCTCGTAAAGTTAATGCCAGCACCTAACTCCCCTTTTCCAAGTATGTAGTGAAGAACTACTATGCAACGTATTTTCTATGTGCTTTGGTCACAGAGAAGCAGTTTGTATTTCTGTGTGACCCTGAAACCAAGCTAAAGAGAAGATTGGGAGCAGCTTTTTCATTGTAGTTCTGCAACTTAATCTGCTGTCTCTCCAACCCTTTCACCGATGGGTGCGCGCAGGACCACAGCGCCCTAGATCCATGTTTTAAGGGTTGTAGAGTAGGGGAGATGCAAGTGATGGGCATTGCTTTTTGCGACTTGAAACCCTTCAGAGCACAGATGAGAAAGCTTCTCTCTCTTTTCCGTCCACAGGTGACGTTGTGGACATCTACCAGCGGGAGTTCCTCGCCCTCCGGGACCGACTGCACGCAGCCGAGCAGGAGAGCCTGAAGCGCTCCAAGGAGCTCAACCTGGTCCTGGAGGAGATCAAGAGAGCCATCTCGGAGAAGCAGGCCCTGCGGGATATAAACCGGACCTGGAGCAGCTTATCTGGTGAATAAACAGAGAAGTTGAGGATCTCGGGCTGTTTTGAAGCTGTTGCTAATGAGGAGGTAGAGAGGTGTGCGTGCGTGTGTGCAGGGCTGCGGACAGGACGTGCTCTTCTCTCCCCCCCGGCGCGAGCAGAGTGTGGAGTTCAGAGGGACTCTTAAACTCCTGTTTAATTACAGGTGCATATGCATCATTAAACATTGAGTGGGAACTCTTAAATTCCTGTTTAATTACAGGTGCATATGCATCATTAAACATTGAGATTTGCCTCCGCCGAGGATATTTGCCAGTTTGCTTGCTTACAAGTTGTTGGGTTGGTTTTTTTCTTGCAAGTCATACATGCCGTTTCCTATGGCTGCATTGAATCCATATGGAAACGGGTATCCATAGAGAGGGGGGAGGAAGGAGTTAGGTTGGCTGAGCACCCCTTGCCAATTTATTTGTTCTTTTTTTTATTTTAAGTTGCTCAGTTGAAGAAAATTGGATCTCTACAGAGAGATCCGATTTGACCTTCATTTGATCTTCATTCTCCCCGCTCCTTCCCAAATATTTTGGGACTTCTTTAAGGCCCTCATGGCTCCTGCTGAACTTTAATTGGGTTTGTGGTAGCATGTTAAAGGTTGGCCTGATTTTTTTTATAACCCAGCAGTAGTCTCGGGTGGCCAGACTGCTCTAGAAAGGCTTTTTGCCTTGCAGTCTCTTCCTACCTACCGTGCCTTGCAATTGATTCCCTTTTCCTTTTTAAGACGAAACCAAGTTAAAACTGTGGAATATCACCAACAAGAATGTGCTGCACCTTCCCACCATCTTCCATCATTTGCCACATTTGCTGTCAAAGGAGAACAGTCTGCAGCCAGCCGTGCATGTGGGACAGGGGCGCACTGGAGGTAAATGGGAATTAGTGCTGCTTCTGGTGCTCTTCCTCACCTTGGTGCCTGTCCCTCCCCTTTCCTCCGGGCCTGGCTGTGGTACAGAGATGAGCAGGACTGGAGGAACGGCTGCATGCATCATGCAAGCTTCTTGGTATCGTGGCACACGGGGTGGGTAAGCCATGTCACGTCTGCGAGTCTATGGGGGAGTGCTGTCTGTGCTCTTCACTGGCACTAAAATGTTCTCGATGCTTCTGCCAGATGTTTTTTGCTGCTTTCCATCTCCAGAGTGCTTGGAAGGTGGTCAGATGAAAGCACAGTTTGCAGGGCGCTTCATGGAGATTCAAACCAGTCTTAGGAGACAAATCCCCTCTGGAGTAGGACTTTGGGTACTAGTTGATTCCACCCCTGCTCCCAAATCCCAAATGAAAATCGAAGACCTGACTTATCCCTCCTAAACTAAGGTGCTTCTGGCCATGGGAGGGATTTGGGGAACAAGGGTGGTCTTGAAGTTGACATTCACAGGCTGAAAAGGCCCTTAGGGAGGGAGAGGGTTTTGGGGTGTTTCCTTAGACATCAGTCTTTTGGGGAGAAAGGAGAGAGTCTATCTGACTGCCATGGGTGCCCTGCCAGTCTGGTGCACTGAGGTGCTGCTGGTCGGTACTGGGCTGGGGGACAGGAATATGGAGCCCTACATAGCCCAGGAACCCACCAACCTGCTGGTCACTGCTGGTTGTTAATGATGGAGTGTGGCACTGAGCAGGTGAACCATGAGGTGATCATAGGAGCAGAGCGAAGTGTCTTGTCCCAGCACGCACTCCCCCTCTAAAATCTCTCCTTGGCCCTGAGCAGTGTCTGTTGTGATGGGAATCCCCAGCGTGAAGCGGGAGGTGCATTCCTACCTCACCGACACCCTCAACTCCCTCATCTCAGAGCTCACTCAGCAGGAGAAGGAGGACTCCGTCATCGTTGTCCTCATTGCCGAGGTAAGACAGATTGATTTTTGCCTATTTATGCCATTTCCCTGGCCCCTGCTGTCTGCTGAACGGTGCCACACAGGTTGGCTGGAGGCCAGCTCTGCCACTTGCCAGGGCAGATAAGCCCAGCCTTGGTCTGCCGTCCGACCAGGATCATTAGGTGCATCCTGCCCAAAATGAAAGACCAATGGGGCCAGGGGAGGTCAGGATGCGGGCAGGCAAACATTAGTACTTGCCAGTGCAGCACATGTGATAGCCTTTCTGGTCTAAATTGTGATGGCTCTTGCAGGGTGCTTGAGTGGTTGGTCCCAAAATCACAGAATCATAGAATCACGTGGGGTTGGAAGGGACCTCTGGAGATCATCTAGTCCAACTCCCCCATCAAAGCAGGTCCACCTAGAGCAGGTTGCACAGGAACTTGTCCAGGAGGGTTTGGAATGTCTCCAGAGAAGGAGACTCCACCACCTCCCCAGGCAGCCTCTTCCAGTGCTCTGCCACCCTCAAAGTAAAGAAGTTCCTCCTCATGTTTAGATGGAACTTCTTGATATTCAAGACTGTGCCCATTTCCTCTTGTCCTATCCCTGGGCACCACTGAAAAAAGACCGGCCCCAAATGTGTTGGAGCAGTCCTATAGCCACATCTAGGGGAGCTCTCAGACCTGTTCCTGAAGCAGCTTCATTTCTCCATGTACCTGTGAGACAGCTCTAATCCCCTCTCCCAACCCAAGAGCCTGCTGATTTGGGGCTGAAATTAATATGATGCCTCTTCCTATTGGTGGCTGGAGCCCAGAATCAGTTGCTGAATCCATGGGCTAAAAAGCCCTGATACATTAATCCGCAAGAGCTGCTTTTATCTATGGGTTTAGATGGTTATTTTTCTCCATGGCTTTCCCCTCAGGATTATTTTCTTGAGCTTGAAGTGCATTTGTCTTAATTTCCAGAAATCCGGTGAGAAAGATAAACCTCAGTGGCATGTTACTGGGAGCGGAACAAAGATAAATGTCTGGGTTTGCTGCCTGTTTACCCATAATTTGACATTTTGAGTAGCATTTGGCTTCTGGGTCTCTGGCTGGTATTTCATACAAGGAAAAGGTGTGCAATGATGGACGTATCTCAAAGTGCCTGGGACAAGGTTTAGTCCTGGCTGTCATTTCCCATTGAGCCAGGACAGGTTTGGTGGCTGTTTTCACAGGGAGTGAGCTAAAACCTGAGAGGTTTTAAGTAACTTGACCAAAACCATCTCCTGTTTGGGAGTGCAGTAATATTCTTTTTTAAGTTGACTTGAAAATAGGGTCTCGCTGTGATTACAGCACCCGACTTTCTGTGTGTACCTGTGACAACAGAAGTGAACAACAGAGAAATTAATTCTGATACTATCAAGTGCAGGAGCACACGTGCCATAGCCCATGGTAGATGTGGGCTATGATAGCCCATGCCATAGCGATGGTAGTTGTTGTAGATCACCACCACGGTCATTGTCCTCTCTTGCCAAGCTTGCCTTTGTAGCCACACAACATCCTCCTCCTGTGTGAGTGTCAACCACCACTGTGCCTGCTCGGCCTCTTCCCAAATTGTTCTCGTGTTTGCCTGCACTTGGCATTGCTCATTAAGGCTCTTTAGACGCGGGATAAGTAAATAGTGAAGAGGTCGTATGAACCTGGAGCGGACACTGGGTCATTTGGAGGTTCAGGACAACTCAGGAGCAGCTGCGTGTCCTTTTTGGCATGGGGAACTTCTCATTTCCCATTGTCACTGCTAACAACCCCGGGTGTCATCCCCAGTGGCCAGGCTGCCTGGGAGAGCTGGGGGCTCCTTGGCTGGCAGAGGGGAGCCCTGAGACAAGCTGGCCAGCTGGGCTGTCACCAGCCTGCCCTTTTGGTGGCAGCTGGGCGCTTGGAGCAGAGCTCTGCATTTGCTCCCAAAGCCAGGAGCATCTTCCCTGCCTTTGTTTTTCCCATTGCTCTTTTCTTGGCTGAGCCCTGTTTGGGAAAGGGACCCTTTTCCCCTCGAGAAAACCCTCCCTTGTCACCATTCCAGCGTGGAAGCTCTGGCTTCAGCTTGTGACACACATCCCCAGCGTCTCACTGCTCCCCTCCGCCCGGCGCCGAGCGCAGCGACAGCCGGTCCCGGCTTCTGCAGTGCTGCGTCTGCAGATCCGTCCCGTGATCCCTACGACCTCCCAAAACAATGCAGCCACCAGGAAACAGGCACAGTGTTTGCTCCTGTGGGTCTCCTGCCCTTTGTTCTTGGATTTTGTTTTCCCGGTTGCTGTGCAGATGGTTTCTGCCCCGTGCCTCTCCCTGTGTTTGCATTTATCTCGCCTGCAGATAGCGGCGTGCGGCGCTGCTGACCTTTCCATCCCAGCTCTTACAGGTTGCCAGGTTGATTGTGGGAACAAACTGTTGTTTTAGGAAGAAAAGCATCAAAATGAACCCGAAATGAAAAATGCACGCTTATAAAAAGGGGTAGAGATACTTTTCTGTCGAGAGTATTTGCTTGGATGAAAGCCAACGTGTATAGAGAAAAAAAACCTAAATAGCCCAGAAGTTAACACTTGGTGCAAACACTTGGTGCTGGCAGGGGCAGGAGTGCCAGGAGAGCCCGTGGGGAAGACGTGGAGCATCTTGAGTCCTTTGGGGTGGTTTTTGGTGTGTGTGATGCCTTTGGTTAACACTGGCCATAAAGGAGGGCTCCCAGGAGTCTGTCAGCACAGAGTGTTTAAACTTGATGAAAGGAGATATGAAGGTGGTACAGGGGTGCTGGCAGTACCCCAGGGTGTGTTGGAGGCGATTTCAGACCGTGGGGGGTTAAAGGCTGAGGCTGAAGGATCTAACACTGCTTATCTTTTGTTTTCAGACGGATCCGCAGTACACAGCCGGAGTGGCAGAAAATATCAGAAACTTGTAAGCACTTCCAAATCACGACACTGGTACAGGCTGTGCCTTTAGCAAGGCCAGGGAACGGCCTCATTAAGGAGAAAAATAGATGCTTTTCTGCTTCCCCTTTGTATTTTTTTTGTTGTTGCTTGCATTTTTTTTTTGTTCTTAAACTCTGGGCTGTCTTTGCTATTACCGCTTCCACTTTCTGCTTGTTCTAAAATGCATCCCATATGTAGCTTCCATTAGGCTGCTTTGTGCTCGCAGTATTTAACACACGCCGTTTCATTTTGCTCTCTCTGTCCTGTGGCGTTGCGAGAAGATGGATTATTTAGATTTCCAGTGATCCTGGCAATTGTTTCTGTGTCTAGTGCAGCCCTCTACCTGCTCTGCGGAGTCAGAGCAAGCGGGCAGCGTGGTAAGCACACCCAAATGCTCCTGCCTTACTTTGCTTTAAAATCCACGACCCGTTTTAATTCCCACTCCAGCCTGTGTGGTTTTCCCTTGTTCTAGGCACTAGTGACACTGGTCTCCCATGCTAGCTGCTGTTTACATCCCGGTGTCTTAGTGCTTTTTGCAGCGTGGTTTGTGGCTGTTTAGGCAGAAACCGGTGACGGATGATTAACCGTGAGCTGGTCCAGGTGTTAAAAGCATCAGAGCTCGGAGGGAAGAGAAAAAGGTGGTGAGAGAAGAGGCTGTGAGTCCCGTCCAGCTCCTGCGATTGCGTGTTTCCAAGGGCTGGCCGTCGCCATAAGAAGGAGACGCAGAAGGGCAGCGCATCCTCCGGGCGCCCCGCGTCCCCGAGCCAATGGTGGGAGAGGGGCTGGGACGTGTGTGGGGAGGGTTGTGCTCCCGGGCCCTCGCAGAAGAGCTGAAACAGAGCCCTCCATCTTGCTGTGCAGGAGCTGGCAGAGCTCCCCTCCTTCTGCCGGCTGGCAGGAGGACCCACTTACCAGGAGATAATAGACTGATTGTCCGATGGATCCTGATGAGATTACTGGGCGCCGCTGCGGGGAGTGCTGCTGTGTAGAAGGCCTGAAACTTTAATTGACTTAATGATGTGATTTCTCGCCGTCCCCCTCTCCAGCGCCTCCCGCCCCTCCCTCGTTCACTGAAATTATTTTTCTTCCAAATTGAATTGAGGTGGTGTGGGGCCAGGGCAGGCTGGGCTCGCCTCGTAGGAGGGAGAAAGCCGTTGCTGCTTCGGTGCAGGTTTTTGTCAGCTCAGTGAGATGCTTCTGTTTCGCTGCTGCCCGAGGAAGGGAAGGTTTGAAAATGTTAGCTGGAAAATCTTGCCAGTCCCAAGGAGGGAGTAAGGAAGGGAAAAATAAGTGAGAAGTTTTTGGTGATCTCGCTGCTTTGTCTCCCTCTGCCCCATCTCCTGTCCTCCAGGCTCTGCACAAACAAAGGAAATCAGCCTTACACCAAATGTTCTCAAAAAAGGCAGTATAAAAATAGCTGGTTTTCCCGCTTATCTCTCACAGTTACAGTAATCTCTGGATATTGCTTGCAAGGCTGTTGTAGGTACATATTTTTCAGATGGGTGACATTTTTTCCTGTTTGAGTTTGACTTTTTAAAGGGTTCCGAACCACACTATAGGGAAAATATATGCTGATTTTATCAGAGTAAGAGAACTAGGTAGAATTCCTAACTACAGCACAGCAGTGTTATAAGTTAACTTATCAGAAATGCATAACATAATCTCTGCAAAATGGCTTTTAATTACTGATGCATTTGGAAAATCTCCATAAATGCCAGTAATGCCAGCAGGTCCTTTCTTTGGTGCACCAGTCTGCAGGTCCCTTTAATCCTGTGGAGAGTACATGGTGCTCGTGGCTGGTCTTTAAAGCTGACCTGTGTGTGCATGTGGGAGGAAGGAGGGCTGCTGGGGCGGGGGGAGCACATGAACATGGGGCTACTAAAGATCATGAGAGGGAGAGAGCAGCTTTAAAACTCTGTGACAGTCCCTGCCGATGTCCTTTGGCGAGGCTTGGAAGCGCACTAGCTGCTGGGCAAGTTTTATCTCTTTGAGGCTGTATTTTTTGTTGCCTTCTGCAGCTCAGCGTTTACCCAGCGATTTGGTCTATGAAATGGAGTGTCAGACATGGAGGTATTTGTTTACTGCTGCTTTTCTCTCTCAGATTCCCAAAGGAAATACACTCAGGTCTCCTGGAGGTAATTTCCCCATCTCCGCATTTCTATCCTGATTTCTCCCACCTGCGGGAATCCTTTGGGGACCCCAAGGAAAGAGTCAGGTAAGAATCAATGAGCTTAAAAACAAGCAAGGCCTGAATTAAGTAACTGCAGCATCTCCCCTGCTGCCTCCCAGCTGGGAAAGCTCTTCTGCAGGGCCAGGCGAGGTGCTTAAACTTGCTTTATCCAAGAGCTGGAAGGACGCAGGGGGCAGGGGGTATGAACTGGTGCCGGGTTTGCAGGGCTTGCCTTGTGCTGTGATGTTTCCATCACCAAGTGAGGGGGTTATTTTAACCCATGATGTTCATTTTGAAAATCCTTGAGTTTTCCAGTAAGTCTTAGGTGACCAGTTCGAGACCAAAAGGGAGAGGCCATAGGCCATCCCCTCCTCCCAGAGCTGTGTCACCTTCCCAGCCTGAACCCAGCCTTGTCTGGCTCCCCCAAGCAGTGCAGCATCCCAGGAGGGACCAGTGCTCCCATCATGTCTGTCTCTTGCAGGTGGAGGACGAAGCAGAACCTCGACTACTGCTTTTTAATGATGTATGCCCAGTCCAAAGGCATCTATTACGTGCAGGTGGGTTTGGTGCTGGGGTGGAGGGGAGTTGGGTGTACCTGTGAGTTCATGGCAGCTTGTATCCAGCTGAGAGAGGGCAAAGAATGAGTCCAGTTGTGTCATGTGGCAGAGTGCGAGCGGATTTTAACCAGATAGATTCAAAAGCTGGGTTTCTAAGGTGCTTTGGACTTAGAGACCGCCCCCCCCTAGGGAGGGCAGGAATCCTTGTTTCGTTTACCTATTAGATTGGGTGAGAAAAATCTGCTTGGAGTGTCTTCCAAAATAAACTATGTCTGTGCCAAAGCTTTTCTCCGGTATACGGCGTGATGGCTCTGCACAGAGGGGCTCTTATTGGAACCTGGATGGGTCATTGGCACTGAGTGTCTTTTCCTCTTGCAGCTGGAGGATGATATTGTGGCCAAACCAAACTATCTCAGCACGATGAAGAACTTTGCCTTGCAGCAGCCCTCCGAGGAGTGGATGATCCTGGAGTTTTCTCAGCTGGGGTTTATTGGTAAAGTCCTCCCCTGCTCATCCCAGTCCTGGCAGACACGGGCACAAGTGCTTGCTGGTTCTTGCAAGCACTTAAAGCTCTTGGTCCAACTAGTTGTCCCCATGAGATGGTAAAATACTTGGACGTGATCCCTCCCTATTTTTGCAGTGACCCTTCTGTTTGCACAGGGGAGAAGGATCCTCACAGCTGGTGCTCCTGATGCTCACTTTTAATAAAAATAAACCTGGTCAGTGGCCCAGCAGACAGCCAAACAGCTTAGATGTGACCAGTAGCTTTTAGGCTGGATGGGATCTGGAGTTGCCTAACAGTGTGCAAAAGGAAGTTTACATCAGCACAGAACTATTTTGGGAACGGCAGTACGTGGTTGCAGTAGCTGCTTGATCTGTTATTTTGGATACTGGTTTGACTGGCTTAAAACTTGGAGTTTTCAGGGCAGGAAATGGTCTGTCCTGCAGCTGGCTGAATGTTTTTCATCCTTATTTCTCCCTGCTGAATGGAGGAGTTTTAGACCTTTTGATGCTGTCGTGACCTGTGAGACACTAATGCTTTCTAATTCTGTGATGAATATTAAATCCGGAACTGTATTAGCAATGCCAGCAGTGCTGGTACATAGAGCAGAGCTGCATGCTATTTCCTTTTCCTAGAGAGATGGACACATCCAACCTCCACTGCCCAGTCTCCCAAGTTTTTTCTTCCCAGCTCTAGTTCTTGACCATTTCATACCATAGCTGCTCTGTCTCCCCCCTTTCTTTGTGCTGTAGGAAAAATGTTCAAGTCTCTGGATCTGAGCTTGATCGTGGAGTTCATCCTGATGTTCTATAAGGACAAACCCATTGACTGGCTGCTGGATCACATCCTTTGGGTGAAAGTCTGCAACCCCGAGAAAGACGCAGTACGTAAACAACCTCCATTGAAGGCAAACCTTTTGTGTGTGGGCAAATGTGTGCTCGGGCTGTGTCCCCAGAGGATCTTTTCTGTGAGATGTGGTGCTAACTGACTTTGCACCGAGCCATGCTGTCCCTGTGGAGCCTGCTGTGGGGCATCCTCGCCGATTGTGTAAGCAAAAACCTGGGAGTTCAGGCTTTTGTAGTCTGCGGCTGTCAGAAAAGGCATTATTTCTGCATCTAAGCACTAACAGGGTATTCTTCCTCCAGTCCTTGAGGAGAGTAGCCATTCCCTATTCTTCTGTGTTGTTTTTCATGACTGTGCTTCTCTCCCTGAAGCGGTTCCCTGCTCGCTGCCTATAACCCCAGAATAACCCGTTGGCTCTGGGCTCGTGTGCTGTACCCGCCTGGAGCACACATGCAGGCTGCCCAGAGAGCTCACCCCAGATGACCCACAAGCAAGCCCGCCGTGCGTAGCGTGCCAAAATGAAGCCAGAGCACGCAAGGCTCTTGTCAGGGTTTCTAGGGAGGTGCAGAGAGGTGAAATAGGGTCCGTTTTCGTGCTGCCATCTCGTTTGCGGAGCCGTGTCTGCGCGAAGCCCTGCAGACCGGCAGCACAGAAGCCCCCGTTGCCCTGTGGAGGTTGTGTTTGAACTCCCGTCAGCGGCAGCAGCAGCGAGGGGCTAAAGCGAGTGGGAAGGGCAGAGGAGGAGTATGTGTGACAGTAAGTGTAAGATGAGCTCACCACCAGATACTCTCCTGGCTCCTCTCTGAACATATTGTATTTACTCATACGCTCGTTCGCTCTCCTCCCCCGGCAGGGAATGAGCAGCGCAGTCCTTGTGCAGCGCTGGAAGCCGGTTGCTTAGGGTGGACCTCGTGGCCACAACTATTTTGTAGTGGCAAATGCTAGAGCAGGTGGTCACTGCAAGGATAAATACTGTATTTATGTGCTGGGGGGACAGGGCGCCCTCAGAGCTCTGCAGAATTAGGGCAGGGATGTGTTTTAATTTGGCCTGATCCCTGGCAGTGGTCATGGCGTTGGCTCCAGCCCCTCGTGATGTCCATTGCGTCCTTCTGGCACGTCACACCAACTGCTCAGGTGTGGCAGAGCAGTCCCCAGGGCTGTCCGGCAGCCCCCAGGGTCCTCACAGCCGTGGGTGAAGCCAGGGGGTGGTGGGGTGCTGGGATGGAGCTGGGAACGATGCTGCTGTCTGGTCCCTCCCTTCAAAATCTTCAGCTTGAGCATTGATTAAATGCAGATCCCACTGCGCAGGATCATCTCCTGAGTTCATCTTTGCTTGTCTTCTACCTGGTGGAGCCAAGGTTTTCCCAGGGGAAACTGCAAACCTCTTAAATGTGTTGCCTTTTTAAAAATTAACCTACTTTCTGTGTGGATTTCTGGCTCCTTTCCCCCACTGTTTGCATGATTAACTCTGCGCAGCGCCCTTTCAAACATGGCTTTCCCTTGTAAATCCCACTGTGCAGAATCAAATTGGTAGCGGGGAGGATTTGTCTTTTTGATTGAAAGTTTGTTTGACCTGAGCTTTCTGGTAAGTGCTTTGCCTGCTCTGGATATATTCTGCTCTTTCTTTTTTAACTAATTTTAGATTTACCTGGGGTAAAGCTGTGTGAAAGGATGACCTTCTTACCACCTACTGAGCCATTTCCCCTCCTGGCTCGACTGAGACAGCTCTGCTTTCAGCAAGTGCTGCTTTAGCAGAAGGGGAAAAGGAGAGAGAGAGAGAGAGAGAAATCCAGAGATGCTGTAGCTTCCTCCTTTCCCCTTCCTCCTCCTCTCCCCACCCAGAGTGAGCTCAGACCTGATGGGGTTGTGTCTGGGGTTGCTGACAATGAGTAGGGTCTCTCCCATTAGCATGGCTAGTTTTAATTTTCTAATGTAACGTGAGCTGGATTAGGGGATTATCTCCTCTGCAGCGGATTTCTGGCTCCTTTCCCCCACTGTTTGCATGATTAACTCTGCGCAGCGCCCTTTCAAACATGGCTTTCCCTTGTAAATCCCACTGTGCAGAATCAAATTGGTAGCGGGGAGGATTTGTCTTTTTGATTGAAAGTTTGTTTGACCTGAGCTTTCTGGTAAGTGCTTTGCCTGCTCTGGATATATTCTGCTCTTTCTTTTTTAACTAATTTTAGATTTACCTGGGGTAAAGCTGTGTGAAAGGATGACCTTCTTACCACCTACTGAGCCATTTCCCCTCCTGGCTCGACTGAGACAGCTCTGCTTTCAGCAAGTGCTGCTTTAGCAGAAGGGGAAAAGGAGAGAGAGAGAGAGAGAAATCCAGAGATGCTGTAGCTTCCTCCTTTCTCCTTCCTCCTCCTCTCCCCACCCAGAGTGAGCTCAGACCTGATGGGGTTGTGTCTGGGGTTGCTGACAATGAGTAGGGTCTCTCCCATTAGCATGGCTAGTTTTAATTTTCTAATGTAACGTGAGCTGGATTAGGGGATTATCTCCTCTGCAGCTCGCAGGGGTCATGCCTGGAATTTCCCAGCTTCTGGTGATGGCCCATGGGGGCAGTCCAGGGTGGGGGCTCAGTGTGGTTGGTTTCCCTGCTGCCAGGCAGTCGGAGACACAGCACCCGGCAGTGGGATTTCTGCTGGGGTTGCTCTTGGGTGGGAGGTTGCGAAAGCAGATGGTGGTAGAGGTGTGTGTGTGTTTCTTTTCTTGGAAAAAGCAAAATTCTGAGAAGAAATACCTTCTCCTTCCAGTTTTTAACCCTGTATTTTTGTCCTGCTCCCCCAAACTCAGCGACGTGAACTTTTTTTAAAATGTGAGTTCTCGTCTCCGCGCTCTCAGTGTTTTTCTCCTTTTGTCCTTTATTCCTTCTCCATCATCTCTCTCCCTCCACCTGATGAAAATCAGAACTGGATCAGAGTTACACCTCCACGTTTATTTATGTGGTGAGACAGGCAGGAAACAGCCAGACAGCTCAGAGAGTGGCACGTGCCTAACAACACCTGCCAATAAACTGAAAACTGCTCGTCTGAAAAGAGCCCACACTTGCTACCTGTTCGCTTGGGCTCTGAGTCATCCCAGGATTTACTGTACCTTCAGACCTCAGTGATTCTGAGCTCTGAGTCGTAGGAAAAAGGCTCTCCCGATAAACCAAGGACAGAAGAAACTAAATTCTCTGGCTGTCCCTGCCTGACAGCACCCAGAGGAGATTTGCTCAGCGTTTGCTAGGCTGTGCTTGGCAGGGAGATACTTGGCACTTAAAGCTGGGCACTCCGGCTGCCCTGCAGAGCCCGGTGGGTGTCTGGCCAAAAGTCATGGTCAAGGTCCTCCAGAGTGCAGTTAAAAGCCATCTTGCCAACGAAGGCATAGAGATGGAGCGTCAGGGCTCTTTATCCCTCCTCTTTCCCTGGGGTTTGGTCATGCCCTCACCTGTTCCTCTCACAGAGGCTGAAGCACGGGGCTCTGCGGGGTTGTCTCATTTCAGAAACACTGCGACAGGCAGAAGGCAAACCTGCGGATCCGCTTCAAGCCCTCGCTCTTCCAGCACGTGGGAACCCACTCCTCCTTGGCTGGGAAGATACAGAAGCTGAAGGTGGGTACCAGCTGCCTGTCCAAGCCACAGATGGCCTTTCTGCCAGGCCTGGCCTGCAGGCACGTGGGAACTGGCTGCTTTTGGGTTGGGGGCATCAGTGACAGCAACTGGTGAGACAGTGGTGGCTGGATTTCTGTGCAATAGTTGTGTTTTATTCTAAATTACAGCGAGCTCGTGTAGCTCCTACTTGTCAGCATGGCAGTGACACATACCGAGAGTTGCTGCAAGCTTTTAAGCCTTGGTGCTAGTCCTGGCCACCCGTCCTGAGTGCCAAATCACGGTCCAGGCAAATGATTTCAAAGCATCTAGTGACAAACCCTGGAGAGAGGACGCCTGGGTTGCTCTGACTTCCTCCCCACCCCACTCCTTGTTTCTGGGATTTGCTGTTAGGTGAACTTGAGCTTGCTGAGTAAGAACTTAAATTGTTTGTGTGTTTAAACATCAACAAAATCAAGTTTCCCACAGCTAAACGTATAGGACCTATAGACTCGCATCCCTGGGTTTGTAATCCAGTGTAATCCAGTTTGTATCACAGTGCAGTGCCCATCAGGCTGTGTAATCCAGTCATTTTATGTGATTGTCACCCTCCCAGCTGCCTTTTCCTCAGGTGTGAGGACTGTTTGCAGAGCTCCTGGGGCAGGGACAGGCATTCAAGGTTGTTTAGGCAATGAAAGGCTCTTTGGTGCCAGATCAGAGTGCAGAGCAGTGGTGCTTCTCTGTGCTGCCTCTCCTGAAGTTGTGTCCTCCTGGGATCCAGCCACACTGGTACCTTCCCCAGATCACTTCCGTCCCTCATCCTTCTGCACTGTGCAAATTGAGAGCTTTTAATTTGCAGTGCTTTGTTGCTGGGACTCCTGTTCCTTACAGGCAAGAGCAGCTCATGACCCTTTTCTGTCCCTTTGCTTTGCCTCCACCAAGGACAAGGACTTTGGCAAGCAGGCCCTGCGGAAAGAGCACGTCAACCCTCCTGCGGAGGTGAGCACCAGCCTGAAAACGTACCAGCACTTCACCTTGGAGAAGGCTTACCTGCGGGAGGACTTCTTCTGGGCCTTCACTCCCACCGCCGGAGACTTCATCAGATTCAGATTCTTCAAACCACTCCGCATTGAAAGGTCAGTGCCTGGGGGGAGTTCGGTGACAGGGGAACACAAGGACAGCCTGGAACATGCAGAGACACTTTCTCATATTGAATTTCTTGCCCACCTCCTGCTCCTGAGAGGAAAGAGCAGTGCTCTTCTAGGAGGAGGATAATTTGACCCTTTTTTGTGGGTCTGCTGAAGCTATTTGCTTTCCTGCACCTGTGAGCAATCTGCTCTTTGCTAATCTGGCACAGGTGGTCGCCTTCTAAACCATGGGCTTGTGGGCTTCCTGGGAAGGTGTCTGTTGTGTCGAGCTATTTGGTGGTTCAGGTGGGGTGAAAGCCATCAAGTCACCTTAGCGTGGTTTTCCATGGCTTTGGTCTCTTGTCACAGGTTCTTCTTCCGCAGCGGGAACATCGAGCACCCAGAAGACAAACTCTTCAATACGACTGTGGAAGTTCTGCCGTTTGACGTAAGTGTTTTATTGAGAATTGAGATGGGGGTGGAGTGGGAAGCAAAAGAGGTTTTGAGAGAAGGGAACTGCTTAAAGCCATCAGGAAATTCTTCACAAGAGTCATTGCCTTTGAGAGGTGGTGGTTGGGAACCAGGGAGTCACGCCTGGTGTGGTACCATCTTGGGAGTGGGGATGTGACTAAGCAGTCACCATGAGAGCCGTCCAGGCTTGCAGAGGGGATGCTCAGGTGGGATGGCTGCAGAGGAGGGGATGGAGCCGGGATGGTGCAATGGAAGGAGCAGCACGAGGGCAGCAAATGTCCTCTTGTTTTGGGGTATGACGCTTGGGGTGTCAGGAGCAGGGGACAAGATGCCAAGGGCTGCTAGTGAGGGAAGCTCTAGGGCTGCAGCTGTGGTCTGGGGATTTTGGGAGGCTCTTACCACTGGCCTTGTGCAAAGCTCCTCTCCTTCCCACAGAGCCTGCAGTCAGATAAGGAAGCCTTGCAGGAGGGAAGAGGCACAGCCGTCAAATACCGCAGGACGCCAGATGGCTACATCCAGATAGGTACAGTGGGTGTGGGGTGGTGGTAACCTGCCCCTTGGGTTTGATAACACAGCCCATAGCCTCACCTTCAAGTGAACTGAGACCCTTAATGCTGTTTGCTCCGCAAGGAGTAATTTCTGCTTGCCAGGGGCCGGGTTGGAATCGGATTTAATTGTCATTGTCTCCCCTCCTGCCCTCCCTCTCCTCTTAGACTAGGGCTCTTCCTCAGGTAGTTTTCAGTCCTGTGTTTTGCCTGTCCCTGCTCAGAGCTGTGACCAAATTATTCAGGCTATCCATTTGCCTAACCTGGTGGTAAAAACCTCCACCATGAGCAATTTTGTGTTCTCCCTCCACAACCGATGTCAGTAATCTCACCACTTGCAGCTTAGGCTTTGTCTCCTGCCACCTGAGCTTGTTTTAAGTGCTTGTCCTGACCTTGGAGAAGAATGAGAAGCCTACGGGGACACAGTGGTGTGTGGTAAAGCACTAGTGTCCCTGATGACTTTTTGTTTTCTTTTTAAATAGACAAATAAAAGAAAAATTCCTAGGCATGCATAGCTTTTTGCCATTTTTGTGGTCCTCTGCATGCTGTCTGGTTTCTCCCAGCTGCATTTTCAAAAAAAAAAAAAAACAAAAAAACCATCACACCTAAAAATGAAACACAGCAACAGGCTGTGACTTTGCCAAAACTGTGGATGTAAGATTTTTCCTCCACAGATGGATCCTGAACTGACCTTTGTCTCTTGCAGGACAGTGCTGTCATCAGGCCACTCTGCTCCCCTTTCACACAGCAGTGATACATAGCCAAATACTCCCCATTTTGTCTGTGTAGCTGATGTTTTGCTCCCCTCAGTGCAGCATTTTGCCCTGTATTGATGTCCACGCTGCTGGTTTTCAGCCCATCTCTGGTGTCAGGGCGCTGCGGGCAAGGGGTGCCATGGCTGCTCCTGATCCCCTTGGTGGGGACTGGCTGCCAGGGGACCCTCCCCACATCACCCATGTGCTCTCCCCACCAGGCTCCTTCTCCAAGGGCGTCGCAGAGGGCGAGGTGGACCCAACCTTCGGGCCGCTGGAGGCCATCAGGCTGTCCATCCAGACCGACTCCCCGGTGTGGATCATCCTGAGCGAGGTAAGACGGCCTTCATCACCGGAGGGGCTCTCCGCCGCCTCCCCCAGCTTCTCTCTCATCCCAGCCCTCTCTCCTTGCAGATTTTTATCAAAAAAGCGGAGTGACACGGGCGTGAGGAAGGGTGGACACGCGTGGATCCCCGGTCCTGCTCCCTCCCCTCCCGCTCCCTCCTCCCCGCGGCGCCTCGCCCGGGTGCAGGGGCAGCCATGTCAGCGAGGCGCGGGCCCGGCTGCCGGGAGGCGGCACAGCCCGACGGGCCTCGGCAAAGGGGCTGCCAGGCCGGCACCACCATCCCCAGCCGGTGCTGCGGGGCCAGGACATCATCTTCTCCAGAAGAAGAGCAAAAAGCTGAAACCAATATCCTGCGCAGAGGGCTGGCTTTGCTCCCCCTGGCAAGGCCTGGGTGCTCCCTCAGCCCCTCATGGTGGCATGGCTGCCACACGCCTCGCTCCCCGATGCAAGGGACAGTTTTTGGGGTTGGGATGAGCTTTGGCAAGCGTGGGGACTAGAAGCACCTTCAGCCCAGGAGAGGGCTGGCTGGCTGGATTTGGGGACAGAGTCAGGGAGGGGCTTGGTCATGTTGAGTCCTGCCGGGATGGAGCTGGGCAGGGACCAAGGTCTCCCTCACCTTCGCCCAGGCAATGGCCCTGGCCCCAGCTGAGGATCAAGCGAGGGTGAAGACTGACCCTCCTTCAGCAGAGAAATGACTCCGAAGGGGTTGGAGCTATGAGTATGGCAGGGAAAACAAAAAAAATAAAATAAAATACACCACACTGTGCCTGCCAGCATCGAACACAGCCCCTTAACTCACGGTGAAATCTCCAGTGTCTTCATGCCTTGAGATTGAGTGCAGAAACCATCTTTTTAAATAACTTTTTCAGTTATTGATAGGTGTGAATTTGGGGGGGAAAAATAAAAAAAAAAGAGAAGTAGCCCAATAAAAATAGTAGGGATTAGTGTAAATCCCAATGTCTCTTCAGCTATACACTGGAATGCATTATACTACTTTAATGTGCTGTATTTTTTATTATTGGATACATTTGATTTTTTCAAGTACATCTCTATATATAAATATATAAAATAATGTGCACTGTAATAAAAGCTAAATTTAAAGCTTTGGTGCGGTGGTGAGAGTCACACACAACAGGGAGGCAGCTGGTCAGGCTGTGACACTGTGAGTGTCCCTGGAGGCAGGGGCCACGGACCAGCTGGAGCCCCTACACCTGAAATGAAGTCATTCCTCAGCATCACCAGTACCCGATACTCCCAAAGCATCCCTCATGCTGGGGAAACCACTTAGAGCAGCCCAGTGGGATTTGCCCCAGCATCACAGAAACCTTTATCAGTTATTAAAAATGGAAAGGTTGGTTGGTCAGCTCTTTGCTCAGTGGGGAGTAAGGAAGGCACTTGGGCACCTGTACACCTAAGGATGCTCTTGTGCAACAGTTGTCTTACAAGATAAATACATGGCTTTTTTTTATTGCCACATACAATTTAGCAAGGAGCTGCCTGGGTGATGCCTCATTCAGTTACCTGCCAACACCAAGTTTTCAGTGGAGGTTGAAATCTAGAGAGAGAGGGCAAAGTCCTACTGGTGGGTCAGTGCTAAATGAAATCAGCGCCAAGTCAAGACCATTCAAATCAATACCAAACACAGACATGAGCATTTGGACTGGAGTCAGGCTTTTTTCCCAAAGTTTGGATAAGGTTTTAGAACAAGTTTACCTACCCTTTCAAGTTAGTTTTAATAACAGCAGCTTTTCCCATGCAACCCATGTCCCTAACCTCTCACACCCAGCCCCCAAGCACCTTTGACAATGACAGGTGGTTTCTACTGAGAAAAGGAATTTATTTTTTGTACATCCATGGTGTGATCCTTCAACAGACATGATTGCAGCAGTAAGGAGGAGCGATGACAGCGCATGGGTCAACCTGTGCTCTGTGAGGCAGAGCCAAAGGCATTAGAGGTTTTAGAGCAGACAGTGCTACAAAATTCAGCTGTGAAGCGCACAGGCTGAGGCTGGGCAGCATTTGCTTTCTAGAAAGGACATTCTCTCTGAAGAGCAGAGCTTTGTGAGACGTGTGCCAGCATCCACCTCCCTTCAAAGGTAAGCGCAGTGCTGGGGAGATACTTGATCCGTGCCATGCAACTCCCTCCCCTCCAGAGAGGGCAAGCAGTGATTTTGGGAGAACAGTGACCCTGCTCACCAGCCCCTGAGCAGCTGGAGGGGCTGTGCCAGCACTGCCATCCATGTGAAGGAGCCGGACAGCAGGAAATGTGCCAGGAGCCCAACCGCAGCCAGCCCCACCAGCAGCCAGAGCAGCCGAGAGCTGGCGTAGAGTGGCCCCAACCTGCTCCGGGAGAAAACACCATCAGACACTGCCCGCCAGTGTGGGGCACAGAATCACAGGATCTTCTAGGTTGTGCCAGTGTGGGGCACAGAGTCACAGAATCTTCTAGGTTGGAAGGGACCTTAAAGATCATCTTGTCCAACCGTCAACCTGACAAAAATAGACACCCACACAACAAACAAGGAGCATCATCACTAAACCATACCTCCCAGCACTACATCAACCTGTCTTTTGAACACCTCCAGGGATGGTGCCTCAACCACCTCCCTGGGCAGCCCATTCCAATATCTGATAACCCTTTCAGTGAAAAAAATTTTCCTAATATCCAGCCTGAACCTCCCCTGGCGCAACTTGAGGCCATTCCCTCTCGTCCTGTCGCCTGTGACTTGAGAGAAGAGACCGACCCCCACCTCTCTACAACCTCCTTTCAGGTAGTTGTAGAGAGCAATAAGATCTCCCCTCAGCCTCCTCTTCTCCAGGCTGAATAACCCCAGCTCCCTCAGCCTCTTCTCATAAGACTTGTGCTCCAGACCCCTCACCATCTTTGTTGCCCTTCTCTGGACCCGCTTCAGCACCTCTATGTCTTTTTTGTGGTAGGGGGCCCAAAACTGGACACAGTATTCGAGGTGGGGCCTCACCAGTGCTGAGTACAGGGGGAAAAACATGGTGGTGAGGGCTTGGTGTCCCCCATCCTCCTCCGAGACTCTACTGGGGAAAAGCTGGTGGGGCCAGAAGGGGAGGAGAAGGAGGTGATGCAAGCCTGCCTCCAGTCCCACCCACGGGAAGGAGACCTGCCCCGGGGGACACATCCTGCACCCAACCTCCCCGGGTTGGTTTGGGGTGCCCACAGCCCCAGCTGGGTACTAACCGTTCCTGCGCAGCCGTGGTGTATCCCTGGAAATACTTGAAGCGCATGTAGAGGTACAGCAGCCCACACGCCGCAGCCACACCTGTGGGGGAGAGGGGAGCAAAGTCCTGATGGGGACAGGGGTCCCCAGACACTGCCCAACCTGCAGCCCAGCTCAGTCACCCATGCCCCATCTGCGGGGGCAAGTCGGGGCACAGCCACAAGAACCAAATGCCGAGGGACTCGGCTTTAAAACACTGTGGGTCTTTTAAATGGGTTTATTCCCTTCCCTTTTGGTGACGGATGAACTTCTCTGCCCCACCCAAAGTTGCCTCAAGACTTGGGTTTGCAACTCTCCTTCCTTGCACCTTCCCCATAGTGGCAGCTGAATCACCAAAACCCGCTTGGTACAGGGTGGACAGTGGATGACTAATGGTTTGGGTTATGGTTTCTCACAATTCAGATATCATGTTTTAGCTCTGCTTCAGCTCACTGCCACCCTGGCACCACGCGCCATCCTGACCTTATCTAAGAGATGCAGTGCAGGGGAGAGCCAGGCTCTGGTGAAGGAACACAGGGTCCCGAAGCCACCAAACCTCTCCTCTGGGCAGGAGACCCCCTTGGCTGCTACCAGCGGCTTCATGCACACTGGAGTTGGGGCGCTCGTCAGGGAGAACTTTCTTTTCCCCAAGTAACAGCGGGTACAGAGACAATGTGCCTGAGTCTCAGCAGGATTGAAATTGGGTGGGGTTTTTTTGGTTTGTGCATGTGGTTTGGGTTGGGGTTCCCCCTCCCCCTTACCTTGATGGAAGAAGATTCCAGCAACCCAGAGGAGCGAGATGAAGATGGGGAAGTACTCTGAGCAATTCACCCTGGTGAGAAACAGAGACGAGAGTTAAAACTGCAACCTCGTACGTCAGAAACCAGTTAACAGAGGCCAGAGAGGTGAGCTGGAAACACGTCGGAGCAAAATGTGCACTGATGTGCTGTGCTGGGGAGAAAGGGCCTTTTCTGCGACCAAGGACACCCAATATCTGTATTTTAGGGAGGAAAAGCTCCCTAACACCACACAGCATTCCCCTCATCCACATTCACATGGACCCTGCAATGAGGAGCCGCAGCTGAGATTGAGATTTGTATTTGCTGGACCCTCCCCAGGCTCCGTCCTCCGCCCCACACACGGGGCTTTTTACAGACATCAAGTGCAGCTACAGCTTAAAGTCTGCAAGGGAAGAGGTTCCTTGACAGTATTTAAAAAGCATTCTTTCCCCCTTGGGTGAGAACAGCTCAAATTCGGGTGTCACACAAGCTATGCTCCAAGAAGGAGCCTTCCCCCAGATTTAATTCAGCAGGTGATAAGATCTGCAGCCAGCCAGGTTTTCTTCCTTCTTTTTTCTTTTGGTGAGAAAAATATAGATTTTCTGCAAGAAAGGACAGTGGGAACTGTGCTATTAAAGACAATGATTTTGTTTCTCAATTTCTCCTACAGTTTACCATTCCCTAAGCAATTTAATCTTAAATTTGGCCAAAAGCTTACCAAACCTCAGGGAACTGAGCCAGATTAGGAGCTGGAAAAAGTCTGAAGAACCTTATGCTGCAAATGCAGTTTGAGCCTCAGCAAGGGGAGGCTGGCAGGTTTCCGTGAGTGAGTAATAAATCAATATCTTTCTTACCCCCCCCTTCATATATATTTTTTTTTAATGTATCAAAACAAATTATCCATTTGTATCTTTTTCCGCAGGGAAAAGAATAAAGGGATGAAAAAAGCACACAATGAAGTAATACCCTCTCAACCTCAGGTTCCCTGAGGTTGCCTCCTCTGCAGAACATAGGGGAGGGCTTCCAAGCACACCAGAGCCCACAGCACGGCTCGGTTAACGCACGGCCCAGCGTTTAATTAAAAGCCTCATCAACAGCTACCCAGCTAAGCAAAGGCTGATGCCTCCCATGCAGGCTGGCCTTTCACTGCATCGCGAAAGGACCAAAGCGGGTGTTTTTGTCACTCCACAAATGTTTGCCGCACGCTGGCAGGGAAACGCAGCTGCTTTGTTGAGGATTTATTGCTGGAGCTCCCCTTCAAACCACCTCCGGGCAGCTCCTTTCACTCGCTCGTGAAACAGCACGACCAAGATGAAAGACGGAATCTGGCGCTTGCTGGAAGCCAAAGGGACCTGTGAACGTTTCCAGTTTAGCTCCAGCATCGCTCGCTCCACAGGAACAGAGCAAAAAGAAACAGCCCTCGGCATGGACCCGCGAGTGCCGACTTTCACAGTACAACAGCTTACAAAAAAAGGGAAAAATTAAAACATCCTCGTAAGCTGGTTCTGCCAGCAAGGCCCTTTGCTTCAATTCAACAGCAAAAAAAAACCATACAAGCAAATATTAGGTTATTAATTTAGCTTCAGCTGCTCTCGCGGTTTGGAGCCAACGTTAATATCAAATTTAATCATTGTAATGCATTAATGCTCAGCACCTCTTCCATACAGCCACTAATTCGTAATTTGGCTGCCTCTCACGATGCCAGAAGGAGGATTATCGTGGATGGACAGAAACACTCCAGCCAGGGCAAAGTGCTCAAAATGAAAACTCAGACCTCTGCACACAAAGCATTAACAAAAACCAAACCCTAATCTAGTATCAGCAGCAATAAGTGAAAAGATGACTTGGGGGTGACTTCACTCTTTCCTGGTAGTGATATTTGACTCAAGTCATACTTAGATGGAGTCACCACAAAAAAACAAAAAAAGTCAAAATCTTACTGAGCTCTGAAGATCCGCTCAAATTCAGGGTGACCTGTTGTTGCAGGGGGGGAGATCTTGTACTTCCGCCGGGCATAGATCACCTGCAGCGTAAAATAGGCTAAAAAAAAAAAAAAAAGAAAACCAACAAACAACACAGGAACAGGAACAGTCCAGCAGCACTTCATTTAGCCAAGCTTTATCTAGCTTGGTATCGAGGAAGTGGTTAGAGGAAAGAGCTTCTACTGTCTGGGTTCATAGTCCAGGGCTGTCACACACAACCTGGAATAAATGTGCCATTTACTTCACGCTCGCGCTTTAAACCCAGATTTGGTTTTCCTGCTGCAGACCGCCTGGCGCTTTGCATAGTCTCACACAGCAGCAGAGCCCTCGGGGCTGCTCCCCAGCAGATCCAGCACGCCCGGGAAGGCCAGAAACACACATTAAAAACCTTGCTGAATCCACATCCCATCACAGAATTATTTTTTTTTTTTTACTCGGAGCCTTGGTACACCCTCAGCCAGTGGGATGGAATAATGTGTGTCACCTCCCGCTACACCCAGCGGGGGCAAAGCTTTTGTACAAGGACAGCACCACGTCACAGAGCAACATCCAAACTGTGAAGCACTGGGATGTCATTAAGTCAATTAGAGATGCTCTTAATCATGGCAATAGAAGGAAATAGAAGTGACTGTTTCCTCCACTCCTGCAGGGCAGCCCCAAGGTGTGAGCAGGTCCAGGAGCTGCCAAATGACCGCTCTCAGCCCAACCCAACCATTTTGGGATGAGGTACTAACTGTGTGTCTGCTACATTGCTCCTTTGTAAGGGACACGGAAAGTCTCTTCAAAACGATGAAAACTTGTTAACATGAAGATTTGGACTGTTTCAATATTTGCTGGAAGTTCTTACTCCCACGGGCGATAGCTGAGGTTTCAAGTGTTTATATTTAGGTGCAGTACTACACTGTTGCCTTTATTGAAAACGAGAATTTTCATATAGGAGAAAACTAAATTCTAAAAAAATAAATATATATTTTATATATACAAATATATATAAAAATTACATAAACCAGTTCCTTTGGTGGCCGTGGCAGTGTGCTGCTAAGTGAGTCACTCCAATTAGCAAGGTCCTGTCGTAGCAACATCTCCAGAGCAAACAGAGAGCCAAGGAGCCAGGCTGCAAGGATGCCTCGTGGACTGTCTTACTCCAACAAAGAAGATAAAAGCAGAACAGCAGGAGAGAGGAGGGAAGTAGGGACAGATGTTGCAAGATTAAAGACAAGACAGATCCATGCATGCCTGCAGAAAAGCATTAGAACATATGTAGAAGAAAAGGGAATTAGAAATGTAAATAATCGGATGCTATGTGACCTGTGTATTACACAACGCGTTATCCATTTAAACACACAGACATTCATTTAAGAAAACACCCACGTGTTCTAGTGACTCCCCCAGTGTGTGCAGTGACCCAGCCCCACACGAGAGGCTGTTTAGTGCCCCCAGGGTCTCCTTCCAGACACCCCTCAAGGCATGGGCTGAGTGAAGTTGCTGCTCTGGCTTGTGGCATTATCCTGGCTGTGCTGGGCAACGGTCTCCATCCTGCTCCGTGTCACCTGCACCCTTCCCAACGCGGTGTTTTGTGACTGATGAGCACGGCAAGAACCCTTTCAGACCCAACCCCTCCATCAACTCCACGCTTAGCAGCTTGCCTGTGTACAGGGGCAAACATTCAGACAAATCCCTTATGCTTAGGGATGGATAAGATATAAAGCAACCACCCAAGAGGAGCCAGAGCCTTTTGGAGGAGGGCTGCCTGTCCTCCAAACCTGGTGTTTGGGTGAAGAATCGCCCTCCAAAAGCACTTCTCAGAATGAGGTGTTGGAAAACGCCACGCTGCACAAACCTTCTCAGCGTGGATTTTTAGGGAAAAGAGTTCCATCTGCTCCACAGAACCTTTCAAACTAATTTTTTTGGTGATTCACATCTCAAAGTTAAACTCCCGTGTGGATTCCCACGTGGCTCATAGGGGCTGAGCTCTCCCTGCACCTTGCTCCTCGGTGGAAGCATCAGCCAGACCTTCACTCTCCATTTGATTATGTCCACACGCTTGTCAAACAGTATTAGAGCTGACACCCACCGCATTTGGGTGGACTTGGCAAACAAGCTCCGTGGGGGCTGACAGACAGCGACATCGCATAACCTTTGTTTCCTTTGAAGCCATTGAAAAAGGGGCGTGGGGGGAAAATAACAACTGTGGTAGCATTGTTCTGTTCTCGGGTAGTGTTTGACACAGGGCCAGGGGCATGTTATCTGCAGAGCATTGAGCTCAGAGCTTCGCCGAACGGAGCATAATTAACCTAAAAAGGGAGAAGGTTACTTGAAAGAATGTGGAAACCGTGGGCTCCCAGAAAATAAAGCAAAACTCAGCCAACGCTGTACTAAGCTCAGCCATTAAATTGTCTCCTACATCAGGAGGTGATGGAAGAGTGCATTTTTTGGTGCATATGTATGTACATACAACACATGTTAATGTTTCAGCGCGCTGCATTCTCCGAATGAACCTCAGGTCTGTAACTCACCTAGAGTTTCAAAAACATGCAAGAAAAGCTACTGCCCAGCTCTGAATCAAGATGAAATTATCACACATATTTCCTGCTGGCGGGGAGAAAGGGAAACAGGTACTATCTTGGAATTGCTCCTTGGCTTCCCATGCAGAGCCCATAAAATGGGGCTACTTTGTCCGATCTACCGCAGATAAGAGGGTGCCAATACTTGCTATTTATCTGCTGGTTTCACACCAAGGTACCCTTCACGTGGCTTGAAAGCAACATGCCTTGGGCTGCAACTTTAAAATAAATATACTTGAAGTTCTGATTAAACAAATATATTTGAGACAAAACTGCTATCCAGGGATTTGCCACTGAGGGTTTCCTAACAGAAAGGGCTCAGGAACCTCCCTGTAATTCCATTTCAAGTTTTCTTTCTTCATGCCCTTCCCTTTGCACACTAAATGCTCCAGGATTTGCCACTGAGGGTTTCCTAACGGAAAGGGCTTAGAAACCTCCCTGTAATTCCGTTTCAAGTTTTCTCCATGCCCTTCCCTTTGCACACTAAATGCTCCCTCCATCCCCATTTAGATTAATAACCATAAAAATCATAAGAAAAAAAAGTATCTTCCATTTGTAGTAGAATGAGAGGAAATTACTGGTAATTCAGACTTAGCTAATAACCATAAAAATCATAAGAAAAAGAGTATCTTCCATTTGTAGTAGCTGATATTTCTACATAGAATGAGAGGAAATTACTGGTAATTCAGAAATCTTGAACTCTATTCCTCATGTAGCATATTTGTGTTTTAAATAACGTTTATATTAAAACACTTATCATCTGATGGCTAAAATACATCAGGCTGCTCAGAGATTCACATTCATTTGTAAGGAAAGAGGTGCAACAGCTCTACAGCGAATTAATTCAGTAATAAAATACCCACAAATAAGCCTTCCCTCACAAAAATTGAAGATTTTAATATAAAGGGGGCTCTGGCCGCACCCCAGGCAGTGGCAGCACCCCCTTTTCTGACCCTCCCAAAGCCCAAGAGGAAGAGGCTTTGCCCAAAGGACCCACAATTAAACACAAGAGGTAGAGAGAGCTTGGCAGAGCTACTGCTTCTTCCTAAACCAAGCACATCTATTTAAATGACGAGAAGTTGCTGAGTTCCTCCGAAGATGTCTGTGTCTATTTCTGACCAGAATTAGTTTCCAAATTACTGTGTGTTATCAACTCATCTCCTCATCTGCTCCCTGCACTGAAGCTGTATGAATCGAGCACACAGAAACACAGGTGTGCATGGTGCTCTTTTCCACATACATAGGATATGTTTGTACACTGACCTCTTCATCAGCATATTAATTAACCTGTCTTTACTTCCGCTGCCTCCAGCCACTCTACGTTACAGATTACCTGCTGAAACTCAATCACAGAAAGTATTTTACTTTAAAGAGATTCTATTGTTGAAATTGTTCCGAATTTAAAAGTAAAGCTTAAATTTCATTTCCTTCTAGGATATGGATCTGCAAAGCTCAAAGCCATTTTAGTCCCTATTAAGTAACAAACATCCTCAGGTGTGACACTCCCACCACAAACAGCCAAACTTTTATATCGTTTTACCAGGTTGGAAAACAGCAACTTTCATTCCAGAGAGACCCCATGCAAAATACAGGGACCAAGTTTAACAAAGTTTAATACAATTAGCTTAATGCTACCTAGCATTATATAAAGGACATTTACCTTGCTCCAGGACTCCCAGAACCGTGACAGTGGCCAGCAGGTCTATCTGATTCCTCATGTTGCTGAGCGGGGAGCAAACCCTTGGCCAGGTGTGATGATTTGCTCTCCTCCAGTCCCCTCTCCCACCCTCCCACTGCTGCCTCCTCCACCGCCGAGACCTCTTATTGCTCTGCCCCAACACGTGCTTCCTCCACCACGTTAACTCTCCCCACCCCAAACCTTCCTAAGAGCCGGCCACCAGAAAACACCTATTCGAGACAAGTGCCTTCTACATAACTACATGACAGCAAAAGTTTTGCAAGCACAAACTGGTGATATTCTTGCAATTATAAGTTCTGTATCAGGATGGCATTACTTACTGCCAGCAACTGAAAGATGATTGAAATTTTTCCAGCCCTTTTATTGCCGGTTTTAATCAGCTCTGAAGTATCTAAATTATGTGAAAGGTTGTAAAGATTATTAGCAAGCATTTGCAAATTAACGACTTGACCTTCTGCTCTTGCTCCAAACAGCAGAGCTGACCACAGAAAAGATTTTCTAGACTTCAGCTGGAATAACTCAATTCTGTTACTGGATTCTGAATTTTTTAAAGAGCACTCAGGTATCTTACCCTATTAATACTGGAAGTTTACCAAATAAGAGTACTGTTCTTTTCTAGTGCTCTTGTAGTTTTCTGGTGGTTTTAAAATTCTGCTAATTTTAAAATTAGCCTGTTCCTGGCTAACACACAAAGTGAAAGTTCTCAGTTCAGAAGGGATGGCGGCACAGGATGCAGAAAGACACGGACCCTCACACCTCAAAACCCCATCCTGACAGCTTATCAAACTAAACACTTAATACAAATAGGCAATTCTACATTTTTTGTGAAACATGCAAGTAGAACAGCAAAACCACTCCCATTTCCCTGCAAAACACTCACAAGACATGACTTTTGATCCTCCAGGCAGCCAGCAGACCCAGACTGAAAGAGAAATAAAACAATTAACCTGAACAGAATCTATTGGTGATCCAAGATTTCACCTGGGGTGTCTAATGTGGAAGTCAGAGGGGAAACGTTCACTCCTGCTTACACCATTTCAACAAACCATTCAGGCTCTAGAAAACACTTCCATTGCAGAGTTTCATCAGCCTCAGGAAAAACACTAAGCAGGGAAAAAACAAAGTAAAATTAAAAAAATTCACTTCTCCTTACACCATTTCAACAAACAATTCAGGCTCTAGAAAACACTTCCATTGCAGAGTTTCATCAGCCTCAGGAAAAACACTAAGCAGGGAAAAAACAAAGTAAAATTAAAAAAAAAAAAACAAAAAAAAAAAACAGTTTCTGAGCAGAGGTTGATCAGAGTTTCAGAGCAGAGGCTGCCACCGATTCCTTCAAATCCTTGTACCATGCACGTGCACCTCACTTCAACGGGGGAAAGTTTGGGAAATTTCTGTTTTACTCAACATTAAATATAACAGAGTCTTTTAACAGGACAATAAAGGAAGTTAATAGAAGTAGTACCTTCACAGCTCCCTGCAGGCTAGAAGCAGCTCATCCCGGTACTGTTACTTATTACGTTTGGTTCTTTATAAGCTTCTGGAGTAAGAGGTGTCCCCCCTTTCCCCAAACACAATGTAAGACTCACAGAGTAAGAATATACCCAAAATATACTCAGGTAACTCAGGACGCACTTTGTGAGGAAATCTGAAGGCTCTGAGCTGGGGCCTTAAGCACAACAGGTACAGAATAAGACACCAAATTCAGTGCTTGGAGAATGATCCTTCAACGTTTGCAGCCGATTAAAATTCTTATTACATAGGGGGATCCTTGAAATTACAGTAACATGAAAAATGAGCACAGCCTTAGCAAGAAATGCATGTCTCACATTTTTTGCAAATTCTTTATCATTACTGCTTAATCTGTGGTTGGAGAGATTGGAGAAGTTAAGTTCTAGCACTTCAGGCTAGATGTTATCAGTTAAAAGGCACAGTTGAGAAACAGGAAATACTACATCAATAACTGAATTCTTGGGTCTGCTGCAAGCAGTAGGATTCAGTAGGAGAACTGCTTTGAAATGTTTGATTCAGAAAAATTTGTCAAGTAATAAATGATTAACAAGAACATATTAATATCCAAACACACACTACTAAGGCTCAGCTCCTTCGGGCACTGAAGGAGCCACAGATCCTTGCTTTACTTCAAACCAACATGGGTGTGAGTGTCCACCTCCAGAGGCTCAACAACCCAGCAAGAGTCCAAAAGACCAATTTTGCCATTATTTTCCACATTCTCTTCAGCCCCCCAGCTCTTGGCAGGGGCTTAGAGACCTTACCAGCTCTCAGCCAAAACCCTCACCCAGCTCCCTGCCAGAATTGGGGTCCTTGTTCAGGAACATTAACTCACGCTTGCAGTACGTGCTCCTCACTTCTCAGTTTGGGTTTTTTTTTGGTGCAACCTGCTTACATCAAACAAATATAATCTTCGCCTTTTTAAGTCTCAAGGAAACCAATCTGAACCTCCAAGGCCTGTTATTTTGAGGGAATCTTAGCATACTTTTTTGAATTCTACAATTTTTGCACATGTGAGCAGCTCTTAACATACTTTTCACCAGTAACAACAGTCCCATTTCCCAGCTGAATGCATACAACTGCATTAAAAAAAAAAGTCCACAACCAGTGGGCGTAGCACAAAGCCTTGTATTCAAAAATAAAGCTTTCTAAAGCCTCTTTATGCAGTTCTGGGCCTGTTTAAATGGACTTTCTGAAACTGTAAGAATTGGTAAGACACAGCAGAAGAATTCGAGCCTTAGTAAGGGACCGACCAAAATTGTGTGCGTTGGGATGAAGGGAACCATCTCATGTGTGAGTGTCCACCTCCAGAGGCTCAACAACCCAGCAAGAGTCCAAAAGACCAATTTTGCCATTATTTTCCACATTCTCTTCAGCCCCCCAGCTCTTGGCAGGGGCTTAGAGACCTTACCAGCTCTCAGCCAAAACCCTCACCCAGCTCCCTGCCAGAACTGGGGTCCTTGTTCAGGAACATTAACTCACGCTTGCAGTACGTGCTCCTCACTTCTCAGTTTGGGTTTTTTTTTGGTGCAACCTGCTTACGTCAAACAAATATAATCTTCGCCTTTTTAAGTCTCAAGGAAACCAATCTGAACCTCCAAGGCCTGTTATTTTGAGGGAATCTTAGCATACTTTTTTGAATTCTACAATTTTTGCACATGTGAGCAGCTCTTAACATACTTTTCACCAGTAACAACAGTCCCATTTCCCAGCTGAATGCATACAACTGCATTAAAAAAAAAAGTCCACAACCAGTGGGCGTAGCACAAAGCCTTGTATTCAAAAATAAAGCTTTCTAAAGCCTCTTTATGCAGTTCTGGGCCTGTTTAAATGGACTTTCTGAAACCGTAAGAATTGGTAAGACACAGCAGAAGAATTCGAGCCTTAGTAAGGGACCGACCAAAATTGTGTGCGTTGGGATGAAGGGAACCATCTCACCAGGAACAACAACACTGAAACTCTGCCCAGCTCACACAAATGTATGAAGTCACACCATGTATGTTTAATACACTAGCAAAATATTTATTTTATAATGATAAACAGAAGTGAAGGATTTCTTTTTGGTGTGCACCAGTAATTGTAGTAAAAGAATAAGGGGATTAATGGACTCTTTATACATTTCAATGACAAAAATTCATAAAGGTTAGCATCAAATTCAACTGTTCTCCATTTACAAGCATAAAACTTACCATAATACCCCCCAAACACATATATAAAGAATTATAGTTTTAAAATCTATAAAAAGTAAAAAATATACAGTCAGAAGATCTAACTCTTATTCAAATCTTTAATATAAAATTGTAAACATTTATTTACACAAAGGAAATGTGTATAACAAAATTTCGAGCACCCTTTTCAATTGAATGGTGGTTTTTGGAAGGCAGTGGATGTTGCACAGTGACACTCTCACCTTTCCTACCCAACCAAAACCGCAGTTTATAATATAAATAAAGCCATGGGCGGCTGGCTAGGTACAGTTCAGGGGAGATACGTTTTTTATTGCTCTGAAGCTGCAGCAAATGGAAAGCCCAAGTGCATATATAGACAGCTACATGTCAAAGGGCATCAAGGCAAAGCCCAGCCCTACCCATGCACCTATGTACATCTAAACCGTATTTTCATTTCCATTGAACTGTTTCCACTTTGTTACAGTGATACCATATTTCCAACAGGCTGGTGGTATTATGTGGACAGGGACCAAAACTAGAAGTGAGGCCTGTTTTTTCTACCAGGTTAAAAAGCTGTTTGGATCCTGTTCACATACAAAGACCAACGGGCATTATAAGCCAGTTTGCCTAGAATCCCACTTAATTTTACTTCAACAGTACCATGAAAAGGCCCTGTCATCAAATCTAGATACCTTCCTGAACAAACCCTCTGGTCAAGCAGGGCAATATCCACCTTAGCTTCCAGAAACAGTGGAGGAAAGAGCACATCTGGGTTTTCCTGGACATTTAGCTGGATTGCCTTTTTGGTAGTAATAATGCAAACAGCAGATGTTCTTTTCCTCCAATTAAGAAATCACAACTGGATGGATTGTATTTTGACTTATTCAGAACAAAGTCTGTGTGCAAAATCTACTGGAAAAGGTAGCAGATTTCACCACAACCTAAACAGGGAAGAAAAGCTGAGTCCTACTACCCTGTTATTTCTCTCAAGTGTTTGTAAGGGGGAGAAAAAACTAGTGACATTGAAGAATGCCACTTGAAATTATGAGGTCCCAAGCACCCCCAACAGGAAGGGAAGGCACACTGGTGCAAAGTTAACCCTTAAAAATAAAAATACAGCAAACACTCCTTCCCCTGCCATTGCTAGTTTATATCTATACTCTTCTAATGACACTTACCTTGGACCAGTTTTTGGTTTAACTTCATAGTAAACCAAACTCACTAGCTCTTTTCTTAGATTGCCAGCATAAGGAAAGTTAGCATCAGTTATTTGCACCTCATCTACTTAATTCTAGAAAGTATCCAAAGTGTCAACAACCAAAGTCACTAACACCTCCGTCTTCCCATCCAAAGACAATCTTTATGTTATCTTTTCAAAAGCTCTACGAGGGATTAAGTCTGC